CATGTGCAAGAAGCTCATTTCTAGTACATTTACGGGCTTTTCTCATTGGTGTGTTAACGTTAAATGCGCTTACTGTAATTTTGCAATTAAGGTAATTACGTGTGAAAGCCATTTGCAGAATCAAGGTTTATTTTCAGTTTATTTTTGGAATGCCTCATTTCCACTTTATTATCGCTTTCTGGCCCACGTGTGATAACGTCCATAGTTGCCCTTCCTATTCCTAGTCTTCTTCTTTCTTGACTGCAGTCACCATTCTGATCAACGTTTGATCCTAAGTACAGGAACTCTTTAACTATTTTGATTTCCTCGTTGTCTAGGGAGAGTTGTGTTTCTTCGGAATTTATACTAGCGTTTTTGGCTTTTATTTTGTAATGTGCTACACAGGGTGACCAGATGTCATAAACACAAAGGAAGACACAAAGGCACCACAAAATATAGGACATTCAAGAAAAATGTAGGAAATTACCAAATAAAAGCTAAAACCACTAATATAAATATCATGTATATTTAGCTTGTACATTTCTATACTGCTTATCAGTGAACTCAGCACTCTCTAAGCGGTTTACAATCTGTAAAATAATTGCCCCAACAAGCTGGGTACTCATTTTACCAACCTACGAAAGGTTGTAGGTCTGAGTCAACCTTGGAGGCCTGGGATCGAACTCACAACATTGTGGCTGCAGTGTTGGCATTTAACCACTGTGCCTCCAGGGCTACCTTAATATAAAAGTAAATCCATGCTTCTTAGTCATGCTCAAAATAGAGGACATTTTGAAATTCCTCCTGGACAGAAGGTTGAAATGTAGGGCATGTCCTGGAAAAGAGGGATGTGTGGTCACCCTGGCCCTACATTTATCTTGAATGTGATGGTGCCTTGTCCTCTTTTGCAGTTATGACATCTGGTCACCTTGCCTTCACAGAAGCCTTTCACAAACAAAAAGTTCACACTTTGGTAATTAGGGCTCTGGTGCCAGCACAGGCTATAGGCCTTTACAGTCTGCCAGAAATAATGCAGCTTGAGTCCACTTTAACTGCCCTGGCTCAGTGCTAGGGAATCATGGGAACTGTAGTTTATTGTGGCACCAGAACTCTCTTACAGAGAAGGCTCAATGTCTCAGAAAAAATACAAATCCCATGATTCCCTAGCACTGAGCCAGGGCAGTTAAAGCGGACTCAAGCTGCATTATTTCTGGCAGACTGTAAAGGCCCTATGATTCCCAGAATTTCATAGCATTGAGCCATGGCAGTTAAAGTTGTATCAAACAGGATTATTTCTGCAGTGTGGGTGCAGCCCTTGGAATAAATGGATGGGAAAAATAAAGTAGTTTCCAGGCACTTTGAAGGCCCTAAAAAACAGAGTAAGAAGAAGCCAAGCTAGTCTGACTCAAGGCGGAAAATGTTCATCTTTACTGTTGCATATAAGTAGACAACGTGAGTTCAGGGCTGTGGAAAACCAAAGATATGAAAGTGTTACAACTCAAGTGGATTTAATTAAAATATACACAAACCAGACAGTCCAACAGGGGTATGGGATGAAAGGAGCATGGGGGGGGGGGAGCTCCATGCTTGTGTTTTGCCAATGTATCACTTGCACACTGATGCACCGATGCCCGACCTGGTGGAGCATCATGTGTGCAACTGTGTGACTGAACAAAGGGGTGGCCATTTAATGGAATGGCATCTTGGTGGAAGTGAGAGGTACTTGGAGATTGCAGGTGGTGTGTTTGTACAACAGTTGCGCATGCATGGTGGGGAGGCAACCAAAAAAATTACCCAGCGGTGCGGCTTGACACTGTGTCATACAATTGACCCATGCTTATTCAGCCTGCCTTGGGAGAGAGCTGTGTGTTCAGCAGGGTTTCAACTCGCTTTTGGGAAAAGCAGGATCAATCTGCTTTTTCCTGCCTACAAAGAGCTATGCTACAACATCTTTCACTCAGTCTCAAAACTGCAACTAGATCCCTTTGCATACTGATATTACAGACTAAGGGCTTTTACAGACTGCCAGAAATAGTGCAACTTGAAGCCACTTTAACTGTCCTGGCTCAGGGCTAAGGAATTATGGGAACTGTAGTTTATTGTGGCACCAGAGCTCTCTGACAGAGAAGGCACAATGTCCCAGAAAAAATACAGTTCCCATGATTCCCTAGCACTGAGCCAGGACAGTTAAAGTGGCCTCAAGCTGCACTATTTCTGCAGTCTGTAAAGGCCTTAACACAGCTATGTCTGAACTGAATCAACAGATCTACAATAGTTGGGACTAACAGCTGGACTTAGGCCACTATTAAATTTAAAATCCATTTATCAGAAAGGTCATTTGAAATAGTCTAGAATTCCTAATGTTGCCCATTTATATCACCTTTGTCTTATTTATACAAAAACAGCCACTTTTTAGCAAAGGCCCCCTTTTGCTCTTCCAAACATAGTTCTGCTAAAAACTTTGGGGGGAAAATACCAGGACCCCACCCCCACCCCATGAATACCAAAATTAATTGGTGTTCAAGTCCCATTAAATACAATGGATAGTAAATAAATAAATAAATAAAATGATAAAATCAAGGTTTGCTTTTACACTTTATATATTTTTATATATTTTCAAGCTGTAGGTGCTTGAATCCATGGATAAATAATCTATGGCTATGGAAGGGTGACTGTAATAGCTATTTTCTGTTTTAATTTTTTTTTTTATCATCATTTTAACATTGCAAGGTCTTGACTTTGGTCTCTGAAAAGAAACGCATTAACTGTTTAAAGTTTTCTCACCTTTGAGGGAAGGGGAATATATATACATTTCATGAGCAATGTTTCTTTTTTAAAAAACAATAGGAAGCTTCTTATTTCATGTGGTTCATGTATGTTTCAGTATTGCATGAGATAATGCTGGTTTTCTTGGAGCTTTTTACTGGAAGAAATATAAAACTTAGATTTTTCACACGCCATAAATTGGTTTTGCAATACTTTGCTGGGGTGCATTTGGCAGAGGCATTCAGTTTTTAAATGTTTTTAAATCAATTGATTAAACACTCATATAATGTACATTCATATTTTAATTGTTCTTTATATTTGTGCCACTTGTGAACAGATGCACCAGTTCTTCATTTCCCTCACCTATCCAATATGTGGGTGGAAGTTAAGTATGGAGGGTGAGTCTTATCTATTTCATCAATGCTGTATGCTTCACAATTCCCCCATCTACTGGGTTGTAAATCATACAATCATAGAATCCTAGAGTTGGAAGAGACCACAAGGGCCATCCAGTCCAGCACCCTGCCATGCAGGAACTCAAAATCAAAACATCCCTGACATATGGCCATCCAGACTCTGTTTATTTTTTTTTTAATTTTATTATAATAACACATATAAAACATGAAAACATACAATATTTCAATACAAAGCAATACACTACCATAAAAGATATATCTCACATACTACCACAAAACATCATCTCATATATTAAATAAACAGTGTAGCTTTAAATTCAGCTTTTAAGTACCTTCCCAAACACATTATAGTATTCTTCTTTAATCTAAATTTCAACATTTCCTCTGGTTTTGACCTATCAAATATGTGGGTCTCTAAGCTAGCAAATTTTGCAAGAAAAGGATAATGGTCTGTAAACTTTCTATTACATTCTCATTGCAATGCAAGTGCAAGTATCCTATTACCTAATTAAGTAATCTGCTAAGTAATAAATCAGCACTTATACAGATCTCACCATTTCAATTAATTTATTACATTCAGCTAATTTCCTTTTCTTCCCTGTCCTTCTCATTTCTCCTCATTTTCTTATTTTCTTAAGATTTCTAATCCAGAGTGGCCATAGATATCTTCCTAAATATTTCTTATTTTCCTCTCTATTTTTCTCATTCTCCAGATGTTCTGGACTTGTTTGTATTTTCATTTTTTCCACATTTTCATGACGTTTCCCATTCTTCCTCTGTTTTTCCCTTTGATTTTTCTTTTAATGTAGCTGTCAACATGTCCACCATTGAGAGAAATAGAAATAGATTCTTATCACTTCTTACTGCTACTATGGAAACTTATGTTATTGGGGAAACTTTTTACTGCTAATAGAAATCAACCATAATCCATACTCTTCTGCCAGTTCTTCTGGAATAATGAAGAGGTAGGAGTTTTCTGTAAGTTTTTCTTCAAAGAAACATGCATAGAAAATGTGTATCTGACAGCAGTGTAAATTACAAAAGAAAAGAAATAGCATCTAAAATTTCATTGCCCAATCTTGTGAGTTTTACTGGAGAGCAGACGGTGAAAGAAATGCACTGGTTTGAGATAAGATACCAGTAGAACCACATACAACTCTCATGGTAAGGCACTACTGTAATGGGTCCACAGCATCCAGGGAAGGCAGATGTGAGAGTTGATGGGAGTGCTTTGGCATTTACAGCTGAAAAGTATAATTCATGAACA